TGTTACCAAATAGTTGCTCCCCTTAACTGCACTGGCCGAGGTGAGTTAGATGGGGGAGGGGGTGGAGCCGGGTTTCTGCGGATCCGGATCGATGCTCCCATGAGGACAAGATGAGACCCGGGGTCCTCTGCAAGACACCTCACTTTTATAGCCGCTTCCCTCTCATGCAAATCTGTACCAGATTCAAAATCTGTGTCTGTGTCCATTGGTCCTTTGTGCTGCTTCCTTCTGGGTGTTGTCCCAATGCTGCAAGGAGGGTGTTTCCAAAAGAAGGTGCTGGCTCCTAACCTCCCTCCCCACCGAGGCTGTCAGTATGTCTGCTTGTCTTTAATGAGCCCACTTGACACGTTTTATTGTCCTTGGGTCTGGCTCCCAGCCCCTCTCCAATGGTTGAGGCTGTCTGGAGGTGCTGCCTTCCATGCCTTGCTCATCCTCACCTCATTCATTCAACAGGACAATTGATTAAGAGTGGGGTGGGAGGAGATCTTGTTCTACTGCTAGCAAAAAGACACTTTTCTTCTATCTTATTCTATCCTTAGGGGCTATAGCATTATACCAAGGGCAATGCGAAGTTTCTGCATGAGGCTTTGATACAAAGTTTCATGAAAACAGAGGTCACACGTGGGTAGACCCACCACAAGGTTATATGAAGAGGCACAATGTAAAGTCATATGAAAATTATCAGAGAATTATCTACATGTGCCTGTCACTCCCACCCACTGCCTTTGCCTTACAGCCTGTCCTGAGCCTCTGTTCAACGAGCTGAGCAAGTCACGGATCACCAAGGCCATCAAAACCCTCAAGGAGATCAATGTGGCCTTCCTGCCCTACGAGAGCCAGGTGAGGGGTGGCCGGGCTTTGGAGGAGCAGGGCCGTGGGGTGAACGGTGACATATGACACCCCACCCTTAATGTTTGACGTGGCTAGGAGGGGGAGCCTTTCCCTTCTAGGGCCCTGGGTTTGACGCCAGCACAGGGCGGCAAGGACTCACTATGGCTGCTCACACCCTGTGAGACGTGGAATCGCTGGCTTGGATGTATGGGGGAGGAGGGCGCTGCCTCCCTGGCTTTACCAGCTCTTACTGACGGTTTATAACAGGCCTGCAAGACAGCCCGATACTCCACACACCTGCCCTTTGCCCAACTGCCCCATCCCCTCCTTGTGTCATCAGTGGATTTTCCCCCTTACGCCCCTGTGGGGCAGGGCTCTGTTGTTAGCCCCACTGCATTGATGGGGAAACTGAGGCACGGAGACATGTGCCTGGTCTACACACAAAAGCTTTGTTGGTATGGGTTTGTTACGGGGACATGAGAGAAAAAATCCCCCCTGTAACTGATGCAGCTGTGCTGGCAGAGCCCCTGGGTAGAGGCCGTTACGCTGGCAAAGCAGTCCTTTCGCCACTGTAGCTTATTTCATCTGGGCACCGGTGCCAGCTGTGCCAAGAGAAGCTTTGGCTGGTATAAGCTGAGTGTGCGTCAGGAGGCTTTGCTGGCTCACCCGTCCCGTTGCACCAGCAAACCCTTCGTGGGCCGATACTGTTTTATTGGTGTCCAAGCACGTTTTCCCCAATGGCTCGTTCTGTTCGTCCAGTGAAATAAGCGACAGCGGCAGACGCGCGTTGATGCCGGGTTTGCCTGTGGCTACGCTGGGGCTTTCGCCAGACTAGCAGCATGGCCAAGCCCCCTCCCCCAACATTGACTTCTCCAGGGCAGAGTCACACCCCTCAGGGCACCCGGGAGTCTGCAGTCAAGTAAGGACCTGAACCCGGGGTGTCTTCATCCCAGGCTGGTGCATGAATCTCTGGGCCACTGTCCCTCTACCACAACAGGAGTGGCACTGGCAAAGGGATCTCCCTCACTAGGGGCTCGCTACAGCTCCGCCAGGCCACTGAGCAAGTGAGGGGAAATTCTGATGGGGGGGGGGGTGGCATGCCTGGCAGGGCTAGCACCATGGGGAGCAGGGTCAGAGCTGTGCCAACATTCAGGGGCAGTCAGGCCAGGAGGAGCATATCTAGGGTGAAGACTGCTTTCCGCTGCCCATGGTCCCTCCCTGGTACCCCAGGGGCTGGAGGTTATGGGGGGAAGTTAGCTTGAGTGTATGGGGAACGTGTAGGGATATTAAAGAAGGTACTAACAGTGATTCCCCCTAGTGACAGTGACCCCCCCCACATAATTTGTCCCCCACACTTCAAAATCCAACAGTTTCACCAAGTACAAAAATCTCTTGGGTCTTCTGTTAAAACTTGTAAGCTACTGTCTGTATCATAGAATCATAGAATATCAGGGTTGGAAGGGACCTCAGGAGGTCATCTAGTCCAAACCCCTGCTCAAAGCAGGACCAATTCCCAACTAAATCATCCCAGCCAGGGCTTTGTCAAGTCTGATCTTAAAAA